GCATCAGAAAGGCTGCTCATGGTAGGAGCCCCAGGCAGTGTGGTAATAAGGACTCTCTGCTATCTCTGCAAAAATGTGAGGCAAAGTGCAGGAGAGCTACAACTTCAGGAAGATGGAGAGTTCAGGTTATTAGGAGAGCTGAGCTCCTATTGCCACCGCAGTCTGAGGGCATGAGCCTGTGATAATGTTTTGTGAATGTGTACTACCAGACTTTGGTAAGCTAGTGTCTGACTAAAGTCATATGTGATTATCTAGTTATTTTCCACAGAATCATAGAATGTCCTGAGTTGGAAGGGACCCACAAGCCCCCTGGTAATGAGTGTGTGCAGTAAAGAACCTGCTGCATTATTGGCCCTTAGTTTTGAATTAAGCATATTGTATTTGTTTTGCTCTTAAAGGAGGACAATTCCTAAGCTTCCTGTAGATTTCTTTCCCTTGTATATAACTATATCTTAGGTAGTCTTGGAGTAGGTATCAGGACTCAGAAAAGGATCTTTTGATCTTGCATTTAGCAGTTAGTTTTATGCTTGTTAATGTTTGCTTTTTTGTTTTCAATGCTTTTAAAAGGCAAGAAATGGACAGTCTTCAGCGGCAGATGGAGGAACACACCATTACAGTACACGAGTCAATGTCTTCGTGGACTCAGATTGAGGGGAAGTTAATGGACCTTTCTTCTACCAGTCCTGCAACTGCATCAGACCAGCAGGAGGTTCCTACTGCAGATGAAAAGAAAGAGAATTGTAGTGTTAGTGACAAGGAAGCTTTGACACTATAACCACCTTATCAGTTGTCTTTCTTCCTATTGCTTTAAGTATCTAAACAAATCTTTATAAAATTATTTATTTCATTTTTTAAAGCAGCATTCGGAGTTGTACCTCTGCCTGTAGAAGCAAAGGGCACATTTGTAATAGTAATGCAGAATGTGCTATTCCAAGGGTTTGTTTGAAACCTTGCCATAATAATTCTGTCATGCTGGGGACTGCCAAGTGGTGAATCTAGCTCGTTTGAGGGTTTAGTAAGGAGGTTCAGATGAAGGTTTAAAATGAGGTTAAGAGGAGCATCTGGTTCCAGGTATGTATGCGTTTGATCTGGGTGAGTTTGTTAAGGAATGACTGTTAGTTATGTAACATTTAGGTTTTCATGTTTGTTTGGGTTTTTTTAATTTGGGGGAGGAGCGAGATGTGTTGTTTTCCACCATCTTGGATTGTAACCAAATTACAGGGAAAAGTAAGTTTTCATGTTCAGCCATTAGCAGTGGCTGAGAATTAGATATGCTGAACATCCTCTCTCCTCCCTCAGAGTCTTTTACTCTTGAAGTTCATATTATAGATACCTGTATTTAAAGAAAAAAAAAGTCATTGCAAGCCATTTCTAGTTCTGCAGATGACCTCTGACCTAAAGCAAAAGAAACAAGGCTGTAAAGACAAGCAGTGCAGAGCAGTAGGTGTTTTTGGCAGATTTGCCTGGGATGTTTTCTGAAGTGTCAGTTTTCTCTTACAGTCGCAGGCCAGTAGTGAGCTTTGCTTCACTGCACAAACACTTTGCACCTTTTTAGTTCAAGTTTTGAAGTAGACACCCTTAAGTATATGTGTAATATATATCTATATATAAGAAAAAGATCATAATTTTCTGACTATGAATATCTGGTTTAATATGCTTATACTGTAAGTTAAGGCTGACATGAGGTCTTTGTTACTGTCATCGTTTTAATGTTACATTTGCGTTTGCTCTTTTTTGACATACTGTACAAATGGCTTAGGGAAATTAGCCCCTAAAGCCAGAGCTTTTAGAAATGTAATTATTTTTACTTTAAAAGACATAATTATAATGCCTATAAAATTATTATTTTTAATAGCTTTATCTTCTCCCACACACTTGCCCTATTTTTTGCACCCTCTTTTACAAGGTGTCCAGAGTGAACGGGAGTGTTGGTACTGTTGCAGCCCCTCTGCAGAACACCTTGACTAGTCTATTTTTACAGCAGCTCACTTGAGATTCCTTCAGCTTTGGTCCCATTGTTCCCTGTGGTTTGTGGTGCAGTGATAAACTCACCCTCTCCTCACTCACAAATTCAGTGTGGAGGTCCTGCCTCACCTAATGTGCTAAGTGCTACAGCACAAATCAAAACACGTGACAGATTATTTGGATCGTTTAAGAGACAACTCATGTACTGGCATGTTTTTGTCTTTAAAACACAAAGAAAATAGTAGAGCTATATCCACTATAGTTTTGTGTTTACAAAGAAGAAAAAAGTACAAGTGGATTCAGTGGCTGGAAGAAAATAATTCTAGTCCATGTACTTTTCCAAAGAGGCTGTTGCTGCGTTTGGACAGGTTTGGTTGTTGTGGAGGGAGGATATTGCAGTTTGTTTAGCTGTAAGGCAAAAAAATCAAACAAACCCAAACCCACCTATATTCACTCACAGTCTGGTTTCTCATAATGACCAATTCAAGCTCTAGTCCAGCTGAACGCTTTGCACTTAGTGTCTATACTGAATGATTTCAGGCCCCTCAGCTACTGGATTTTAACTTCGGTTTTATTGGGATCAAAGTCAAGTGATGCTGACAGTCAGGATTTTGAAACTGCTGAAGGAAAAAAATGCATTAGTGTGGCATTAAGTGGCCATCGTATAGATTTACCAAACCATTCAAAGAAAAGTCAAAAGCTTTACAGAATAGCTTAGACATGTTGGTGTCTGCACACTGTTGCAGTCTACTGTGTAGAGTAAGTGGTACTGATAATCTTGCTGTTGTCATGTTCTTGAAGCTGCCTGTATACTACGCTCAAAGAAGAAAAAACCCACAGTATTGCTAAAGAAAAAAAGTGAAACTATGTACTGAATAATATATTCAGTACAAAAAACTCTCAAATGTCAAGGTTTAAAATAACACTTGTGGAGCATTAATGTTGCTGTTCGTTTTATTGGACACATTGCCTAAGGTTAAGAATTCATTATGTTTTAATCTGTGAAGTTTGGCAACAGTTGTGTGGATAAAGGTTTTATCTGGTGTCAAAGAAGCCAGAATTGTTAGAAACCTTCATAGTTCTGAATGTCAGCACTCCTATTTGTATCAATTCTGCTGCATTTTCTCACTAGCTCCTGAAGATGTCGAGCTTACACAGCCAAGTAGCCTTAGATGTGTTTCCCTTTCCAACATGAGGGAGCTGCTGTGTGCAGATTAGATTCCTGCATTGACCCACCTGCTTCTGGAAGTACCTGGACACTGGTTATTTTCATCTTGCATTCACTCTGTGTTTTTTTTCTACAACCAGAAGCACCATGTCATTTACTTAAATGAAGGACAGGCAGTGAAACTTGAGGGCCTAAATCTGGTATGGTGCTAAGTCATTGGGAAGCCTTTTAGAAGGAGCACACAGCGTGTGATGAAGGCAAGGCCTTTTCTTTGTTTCTTAATTGCCCAGAGACATAGTTGCTGTTTTATTAAACAGCCTCACCCTGAGGCTGAGCATGCTCAGTCTGCAAAGTGTCAGGTCTGCTGTCTAGGCAATGAAACAAACCAGTTGTAGGAATCAAAACTGGCTTCCCTCTGCCTGCCACAGCGCTGAAGTACATCAGAGGAGAACCTGAGGAATAAAGTCCTAAAGATTTTTTTATTTTCCTTTTTCAAGCACTGCAATAGAATGTATTTTGTGTGTCTGTTTCTTCAGTGGTTGCTACCTACTAAACCAAGTCTTGATGAAGGAGAAATGTTCCTGAAATGTGAGAATGTTCCCAAGTGCTGAGAGCTGGTGAATGCTGCAGCATTGCTTTTCAGATGCTGTTGAGTTTTTGAGGACTCTTGAATGATGTGCATAAAAAAAAAAAAAAATCACAACAAAGACCAGCAAACCCTACAAAGGAATAAAATGTACTGAGTCTCTGGCATTGCTAACATTGCATAATGCTCCATTCTATTGTCTTCCAGATTTCTTGGAAATATCTGTGCACTGTATTGGGATCAGCTGAGCCCCTTATCCACTCATGCAATGGGAGGATCTGATCCCATACTGTTTATTCAGGCAATGTCCTAGCTGGAATATATGAGATTTTCACCTGTCTAAAGTAATATCCAAGATGAAAGTTCTAGTGCTTGTATTTTTATGGATTATGTATTCCTTCTTAGGGGAGAGAACTGCAGTGACATGAGTGTTCTAGTGTTAGCTATGACAACATTGGAGGTGTGCTGGGGACAGACAGTGTTATCAATATCAATTTAACTTAAAATGACAAAGTCACCCCTGGTGATGCTAAAGCTTGTGATGTACATTTCATGAACTTTGTAGGGAAGTGGGAATAGTTGCATGTGATATGACCAGAGCTTTTAAACATTTTCATGTGAAAGCAATTACAGTCCAAAGGAGTTTCTAATTCTCCTCAGCTGTCACTGACCGCTCTGGTTCCTGCTTAATGGGTAACACTCGAGTCTTGAGCAGCCTCATTTCCAATACAGATGCACAGATTTCTAGGGAAGGGAAAGATGTTCTGGATATTGTAAATGAAAAGGTTCTGTTTCATATATGACACGCAGTAATGTCTGCTTAGGCTGTATTTGTAAAGATAGAAGTTAATCATTTCATGTTCTTGAACGGATAATCCAGGGGCTGGAGGAGTTACACTATGTACAATTAATGTTTATGATCATACAAAGCATGTTGATTATAAAAATTATGTGCATAGGAATTCCTTAAAAAGTTTTGTGCAATAAACTATTTTTGGTAAAGGGCTCCATGTTGTTTCTGCTTTAAAAGACAAATCCCTATCATCTTCTCTGGTTTTGGTCAGTAATAGTTATGTTGGGATTCTGAATATGCTGCACAGCCACCTTTAAGGGAAAAAGACCCTTATTTTGAAAGACATGATTGCATGTTGATTTTTCACACACTAAAATTGGCTACGCTTGCATTTCCGTTACATTCACTTTTTCACAGTTTGCTGAACACATTAGGAGAGGAATGTGATTCCTTAGCCGGAATTTGCCAACATCTTAAGTTTGAATGTACACAATGGAACAATGCAGAAATGACATCTTGATTCTAATTCAGCCAACTGCAATGCTAAGGACTGAAATTAATGTACATTGCTTGCAGTATTAAACAGTGTGTGTTAAAGGGAGGTGATCTTCTTTAAGGCCAGGCATTTACCCCAGCTCAGGCCTGCATTGCTGAGTCTGCACAGTCAGGTCAGACTACACTGTACAGGTACCTGCACCTGGAAGCAGCAACGTTGTACCTGCTGGGATGGCTAGGTCACATCTCTGATGGGACTTGTTCCCTTCTACTGCACTAGAGGTTTCTTCTTGATGGTTTTCTCTCTCTGCTGGTTTATCCGAGACTACGGCAGGATTTTGCGGTTAATACCTGAACTGAACCTTATTTTCTAAATAAAAAACTCAGTTATGCACTTCAGTCACCCAGGCCGGTGGCAAGCTGCGTGCCTGGCTGAGTGTAGCTGCAGGCCCTGCCCGCCTGGTCCTGGGGCTTTGTCTGCGGGATGTGCTCTGCCCCCTACGGCCCTTCCGAGCGGCTCCGAC